TATTGATGAAATCGTTTGTGATAAGATCTTTAGAATATTTTGAATATCTGAATAGGTTTTATGGGTGTCAATAATAACCAATTAGAATTTCCGTATTTTTTGGCACTTAATGAGAATACAAAAACACTTTACATATCTGACCATGACAATAATCGAATCATGAGTTATGCGTCAGTAGGTACAGTGGCAGCCGGAGGTAATGGTTTTGGAACAAGTTATACACAATTGGAATATCCTGTTGGATTATATTTGGATTCATTAACAAATAGCCTTGTCGTCGCTAATTCAGCTGCTCATAATATTGTTCGATGGATATTAGGTGATAATAGTTGGACACAGGTTGCTGGTATAAGTGGAATACAAGGAAATTCCTCTAGCTTACTTAACCTTCCAATGGGTGTGACATTTGACCCGATGGTTAATACGTATGTAGCTGATGCATATAATCATCGTATAAAATTCTTTTTACCGGATCAAAGTGAAGGTAGAACTATTGCTGGGATTACTAGTTCACCTGGAATGAATGATATACAGTTAAATACACCTTATTCAATAAGATTAGACAATCAACTGAATCTTTATGTCGTAGATTTGGGCAATCATCGAGTACAAAAGTTTTACGCTATTAAACAAATATTGTTTTGTTATCGTTATTAGAAATAAAATATATTAAAATTTTGATTGAATAACAAAAGAAATTGTTTTTTTCTTTCTCAAATGACTATGTTACCGTTCGATTACATGATCAAATCAATATTTCGTTTTCTCGTAATTCATTGACTGAAAAGGCAAACTCATAGTATATCAAACTTTAACATGAATAGACAAATAATGCTTATAATATGACAACAATAAAATCTATCCAAATTGAAAATACATTCTGAATATGAATCATTTTACATTAAAAATATCAAATGATAGATTTCAGAGACTCAAAGCGAATCAACTTCAAATCAACCTGATTCGGCCTGTGATAAATTTGTCGAAAATAATTTTCTGCAATCATAACTTGCTACTCATGTGAATGAAGTACGGCGACCAATGGCCGAATTACGATAATTCCAGCGATCTCTTGAAAATAGTATTCGGTCATTCTGATAATTTGGTCGACGAACAAGCGAGGCAAGCACTTCATCAGATAGTGCAAGATGAAAAGAATCCTGAGGGTGTGGATGTAGGTGTAGATACTGTGAGAATATCAACTCAGAGAGTCACACCCACACCCAAGTTTTCGAATTTTAATTTTAACTGGTGGGACAAAAGTCCTGCATCGATTTTGTTTTCGATATAGCGCTGTAATGAAATGATGTAGAGACTTTATCTTTTTTTGTTACAAAGAGCAAAGTGTCTAATGCAAAAATATACAAATGAGTATCATTCAAAATGTTTGATAAAGGCTACAGAAACTTTCAAACAAAAGGCATGGGAAAATCATTCCACAACTATTATTTTAGTTTGGAAAATATTTCATTTAATATGACCACTCTTATTCTTACTCTTCTAGTCAAGGTTTTACACGGTATGAGTAGTGAAGTCTTGTAGCACAAAAAAGAAGCTGTTCACATTTTTATGATGACTAAAACAAACGTTTTGATGATATCGTCTGATGCCTGCATTTTTCGTCGCTCTCAATCGCAGACGGAAAAATAAATTCTATGCTGACAGAGAGATTGTCAAAAACTATATGTTTCATATGAACAACAAAGCTTGATGAGTCCTCTATCGCAAGTTATTATTTGAAATAGGATACAGATTTTCTGTGAGATATGCAATCAAATGTTTGTGGGGTGTGGGGTATTGGATTTTTCTTTCTACACCCACACCCACACCCTTACCGGGATTAATGCCAATTCTATCATTTATTTTAAGAAAAATTTGGATAAAGTTTCATCAAATAAGAAACTTATTTCTCTCGTTTGTTATTTCCATTGATTCTAGGTAAAATCAAACTAACTATGGAAAATAAATTTCCTTATTTATATTTTCGAATGTATTTTAAAAATCATTTTCTTCACTCAAATCATTAAATCAATAAAAAGAATAATACGATAATTAGGTAAAATGTGCTATATAAGAATTGAACGCTGAATCACTGAATTAACAATCATTTCAGCGTTAAGTTGAAGGAAAATATCATCAGACTCCATCATCATATATTCGGCGACAATAGTATTTCGCGCTGAACCTATGGTACGTAAGCAATAATAAATAGGACCAAAAATAATGCATAGGCAGGAAATGCAACACAAAACACGAACTACAGTTGAATTAGCAAATTGGCTCAATTTTGAAGATGAACGAGCAGCAATCTGATAATTGACTCTATTATAAGCCTAGACAATAAGTGGAAAACAAGTTTCATTACGATTTAGATATTACTTTTCTACTTACGACATTAATACCATTTTGATAGCCAGTTGAACGAACTAATGCAATAATTTTTTTCTTCAACTCTTCTAAATTCCAGCCATGACATTGCTTTTCCAATACTATTTCTTTGATTTTCTTGTTAGAAAGTGTATATTGTTCAAGAGCATCTCTGAGTGTAACGGTTTCACCAGCTATTCTTGCCTTTGCCGATGGAATAACAGCAACACGCCCCCATTGTTCACAAATATAAGGTGATAGATCAATGGAAAAATAAAATTCAGTTACAAGACGCGACCTCGTTACAACATGAGTTTGGTAAGTGCCATTAGAGCCTCGATAACTTTCCGTTTCCGTGTAAGTCTACACACACAAAAGATACATACAGCAAACGTTATGATAACATAGATGCAACAAAAAAAATTACACCAAATTTCGATATATATTTCTCCTTCTTCTTAATTCTATATTCTTATTCTTGCTTTGAGAATTTTCAGCTGAAATCACCCTATGTCATATTTTATGAATACTCAATAGGAGAAAAATATCAAGATTTAGTGAAATATTTATTCTGACGCATTTGTTGAACGTAGAAATACTTGTGTATAAAAACCATGAATGCTGACTTTTAATTGTGGTTTTTCATTGAGATATGTCATGAAATAAAGCCACAATTGATCAGGATTTTTGTCAACAAGCTGATCGCGAACGAAAGAACACCTTTTCCATTACGTTGTATTTCTGCTTTCGATGATTCTGTGTATGGAGCAATATCATTGTAGTATAAAATAGCTCCATTAGGGGCAATTGATGTATCAAAATAGTTTGGTGAGAGATCATCAATATCCAGTGCAATTGGAGTAGCAACAATATTATCAGTTTTCATTTCTAGATCGTTGTTCGGCAGTAACATAGATTTATTCGAGGTCAAAGTGGAATCTTTTAGAGCCATCCCTACTGGTGAACTTGGTGTTGAATAGTCTTCAATAGTAAAATTATTTGAGGCAGTATTTATTGTTGTTTGTCATATACACGTCTTCTTTCTTTCCATTCTTCTGAAGTAAAAGCCTTATATATAGATATAATATGATAATAATGCTAAAATTTCCACGAAAATCTATGACACATGCTTGATTCACATCCAAAGTGATTTTTGTAGTCTGACAGAAGATAAATATGATATAGTCACTCTTAGATGACACAACAAAACGCGTGTAGATAAGGCACATATCTTTAAAATGAAAAAAACCCTGATATCAGATCTTCTGAGTTGGTGGGGAATTTGATTTTGCGGCAAAATCAAAATGCTTATACCGCAATACCGCAATTGTTATTGCGGTATTGCGGTATTGCGGTATTGCGGTATTGCGGTATTGCGGTATTGCGGTATTGCGGTATAGCGGTAGCTAGATGTTACATAACCCTTACAGAGACAAAGCGGCACGGAGGAGAAGGTACCAACCCGCAC